TAAATTGCGTAGAAGCTTGATCTGTGCCAGTGTGAAAAAAGAATTGCAAACAAAGTAAGTGGTACTACATTCATAGTGATATGAATGCAGCCGGTGAGTGCATGTTCACTGAGGGATAAAACAGTGAACATGCAAATATACAAGATTGATAATGTACATTTTTTAACTTAAAATCCCATTTAAAATTCGTTATAAAAGGGATATTTTTGCTGCATTTTTGTCTATAAACATCTACCCCCATCCCACAACCACCAACTCCGTGAAAAAACAAAACCTTTGGTGTAAATTTCTTAACTAAAAATTTATAATACCTATGTTAAGGAATTTTTGTTTCAAGTGCGAGATGTTTTAAGATTATTATCAAAAAATTCTTGACACCTTTTTCGCCGTCATTCAAACATCTCTCTACCTGAAATCACAATGTTTGCATGCAGTTCATGCCTTCTGAACCTAGTGCAATATTGTATCCCTCTCCGATTTTTTTTTTTTTTTTTTTGGTTTTGGGGGGGGGGGGGGGGGGCTACAACTCCTTTGGATCTCCGTAATGGTGCAAGTGCGGAAATGATTCACTACCGCACAAATTTCTGCTCAAATTATCAGTAAGTGGGTATTTTATTAACATATCTTACCTGAACTCATAAAATGTAGTTATGCAAGACATGAATTGATCCAAAAATATAAAGAACAATCCGTATATCGGTTATTTTTCGTGTATGTCAACATCACAACTTGAATTTATCCGCCATGCATGTTTACTGACCTTGATCGATTTTATTTTGGGACAACCAATGAGAATTCGGGATCTAGGGGAGCGGATCGTTTAGGATTTCCCTTATTTTAAGCATAAATATCACTGTTTATGAAAAAAAATATCCCATGGAATGCTTTTATTTATCGATGTTTAGTGATATCATACAACACAAACATTTATCAACACCGACATTTACTTTATCAAGTGATTCTAAATTTCAAGTGCAAGTCTCAGTACATCACGCGAGAACTGTCATGGCTGCTGAAGAGAACGACTGGTAAACACGTAGATTTATTTTACTTGGTTTTCGCGTATAAAGGGCTATGATGTTGATAGTGAATAAAAATTCCGTGTCATTGGAAGTAAGTTGAATGCAAAAACAATATATTTTGCCTGCAGTCGTCCGTATCTAAAAAAATATATTTGCACCATTACGGAGATGCAGTGGAATTGTAGCCCTCTCCTGAAAAAAATCTGAGAGGGCTACATTATTGCAGCTATTCAGAACCATGTATTTCAGTAGACAAAATGTTCCACGTGTTGTTCTGAATTTGTGTCATGATGAGGACTGGAGATACATAGATGTAGCTATATAAGATTAAAAAAAAAAACACGGAAAAAATCATGCTATCTGAATCATAAGTATAAGGAGACAAATACGGGAAATCATCATTAAATTTACTATGGTGGCTGTCAGCAAATGGATTTGATACACAGTCTTAACTCCTTTAACTTTCTTTATAACCTACATGTTTAAGTCATTCAATTCGATCTGCACTATAATTCTTCTTGCCTAGGGGAGGGGGGGGGGGTATTTAGGGCTCTTGTATGTGTGTTTTTATAAATTAAATTCACTGATAATTTTTTTATTTGATGCCAAAGTAAAGCAAATTCATGGACTTTTCTAAGGTTCTCTTTAATTTTACCTCGGAACTTACGTCAAAACGTTTCAAGTCTGTTAACAATTATTATACAAATGGTCAAACATGTACCACTATATTCCATGGTAATTCAAAATCTATTTCAAAATTAGTTGAATTTTAGGTCATATATATATATATATATATATATATATATATATATATATATATATATATATATATATATATATATATACCAATAAAATGAAATTTGCAGCCATAAAAAAGTGAGTGGTAGCAATTTAAAGCGTTTGATTATTCTTGTAAAATATACATATAATATGGAAGACTGAGATTTACAAATCCTACGAGTTTTGATTTACAAATTATGAAATACATGTATACTGTGTTCTTGTCGATAAAAATACGGTTGACTCTCAAGAGTTATTTCTTGACTTTTTTTTGAGAAAACTCCGCGTTTTACGGTTCATGATTCGTATGATAAGGAATTATGTGATATGTGTATTACATAATGCGAATGCAGTGCTCCCTTGGAGTGACCTGATTTTCATTTCCTATTTTTAAATGTTGTCCGATTAGCTAACCTTTTTTCTTCAACAACTTTGGATGACATAGACACCATACAGTGTATGTAAAATAAAAATGTTTGTAATTCTAAAGAAGCATTGCCCTTAAAATCTAACATATCTTTTTCACTGCCTTTTCCATATGCATCAATTTCACGTGATTTATTTCAAATTGATTGCCATCTGCACAAACATCGATTCATTTTCTTTGCTGTCCTTGACTGGTGAAATAACTAATGAAAATCTTTATGGGACTTCAATTTGTCACAATAAAGCACTGTAGTGATACCTACATGAACAACAAGCTTAAGGTTAAAATATCTCAAAAGACTAGTGAACACTTTTATACAACAAGTTAAATTTGGCTACATTTATGCACCTCAGTTTACGATTGATCTCAACCCCCCCCTCTCTCTCTCTCTCCTAAAAATGACACCATAAAAGGGTCAATCGTTTTGATGCATCATATCTAGAAACAGAACAGACTATCCTGCGCTATATATTTTGTCTTTAAGATCTTTACTTCGAAAAGCCTATTAGTATTAATGAAATGAAAAAAAACGAACGGTAATCATGCTCAAAAATCCACTGAAACAATACAAATTATGAACAGAGCAAACACGGACATCTGAAAACATCAATTAAGATCAGGTGCCGTAGAGGAGTAAGCATCCCCTGTCGATCTGACATAACCCGCTATGTGCCCTTTGTCGTCTGGAAAAGGGAAAAATCCGTTGTCAATACAGTATGAAAATAATGGCCTAAAAATTTGAATGAAAGATGTCAGTTGACCTAATATTAAAGTGTATTTGCAAACTGGGTCATTGTATCGACCATAGATTTTCCGAAATGCTGACTTTAAACGAATTTGTAGAAACCCTTGTATCATCAACTTCTTCGACAGAAGTGCGCCTCTTTTTAGACATGTTCGTACGAAAAACATGCTCTTGCGTATCAAATCAACTGGGAGATATAAACTCCATATACGTATGATAATGGTATAATTACTGTTACTCAAATAAGGGACGTTGACGATAGAAAAGTTGACGCCATCACGATATTCATAAAGTTGTTAGTTTGCCATCAATGTCTCTCTATAGTAAAATTTTCATATATGAAGCAGAAGTGTAAGCCTCTGTAGTGTCTTTTATTTCAAGTTGAATAGGATATTGATACAATGTCATCGAATTATATGTCGAACTGAAGGCCACGGCAAGAGACATTTCCTTTCATGTAGAAGTTTTTGATAAATTCTTATTCGTAAGAATACAAAAAAAATTTTCTAATGACGGTGCACTATTAGGACCCATGGAAATTATAACACATTGTTGAAAAAAGACGGATCTCCAAAGACAACATATTAGATATTGTCAATAAGGAATTCAAACATTTTTTTTAAAAATATCTTCTTCAGAGTACCTTTGTAGAATCAAAATTGTTTTAACAAAGTAACTTTATAGATGACCACTGACAAGGTAGGAAATTTTGTGAGTTCTATTCTTATTCAAGATGCAGTTGTCTATGATGAAAAAAGAGACTTGTTTTTAATTTATCATTGGGATGGTTGTATAAAGTGTTGAAAAGTCGTACTTTTTGATGCTGTTGATTTTGGCAATATTTTTTTTTAATTTCAAATTATCAAAAGGTTCTCGAGTTTTTAAGTTTCTCCTTCAATACTGTTTATATTTTTGAGGAGTAAAGAGGTTTGGTAGAGCATTTACTAGATCCTGCAATGTATATTTGATTGCAAGAATTTTTATGATGTTTTGGAATCCAGTATAGGTAATTTAAAATCAATTTGGTAGTTGGAGATATTAAAAATATTTGAAACAAACCTGTAAAAAACCTCTTCTTTAGAAAGGGGACTATGAGTATAAGTTGATTAAAGAATTAAAGCAAAGTACAATTGTTTTAATGAGCCTTACAGTGTTGTTTCCTGTCAGCTGAGACCAGTACATAATGATCATGTTATCTAGCTAATTATTAAGTCACTTCTGAATTACTGAATACAAAAGCCTAGATATCATATTGCTCCTCCGTTGTTTTAAACGAGATTTTAACATCCACCTTAAACTTTTTATACATTCTGACGAAGTGTTAAGGTGTTCATATTTAATGGTCTGACATGAACTTCGACAAATTCAAAATATTTGTACAATTCTGTCGTCAATTGAAAGATTGGGGTTCCCTAAGTTTAGACCTTTTAATGATGAGTGATTTAAGGTCCTTATTTTTAACTAAATTCATATCAATAGTAATGGCCTGGCCAGCAGGACTATAGTTGTAGGGAGTAGAAGAATATATATGGACACGTAGAAAGATTTTGTTTCAGATGTCGATATCTAGGCATTTAGATAAGTAAGAGAACAATAAATTCACGTTCCCACTAATTACAAGATCTTTTTTTCTTAATTACGAGATAATTTTCTCGTAACTACGAAATCTTTTCTTGCAATTACGAGATAGTATCTAGGACATGTTTTTTTTTAATACTTAAAACTAATAGGCATTCGTATGTAACCCTAATCTTCCTCATGGTTGAGAATTAGAGTTGCAAGTGCATCTGTGTCCAAATAATTATATTCCTGGAGACTGTAAGGAATCCCACGGTTGTATAAAATGCTAGATTTTCAGGTTTTAATTAAAATTGAGCAAATTTTATTTCACAATTCTCTCAAGCTGACTACAATAGTTTGCATTAAAAAACAAATTGCATAATAAAGTTATAAAACTGATTAATTATTACGTTCAATATTCTTAAGCATTTTTCAACTATATTTTCTTATGAAGAAACTTAAAACATATTGCAGATTGTTTTACAGCTTTCTCCATTGTTAAGAATTCTTGAAAATAATTGGTCACTTTTTTCGATTAAGTACATTAAACATATCACGTGAATGTTGACCATGTGGCTTAGTCTGTAAGACAATATCGAATTTTACAGTGATTATACAAAGATTGTTATCGCAGAAAAGTTCCGGCCTAGTTTGAAGTTGGTCCTTTCCTGAAGAGCAACCCCTACATCCATCATTCATACCTAGGTATGGATCACCTTTGAAGTACATCTGGGTTACCACCCCCATATGATCCAGTCCACCATGTACTTTAAAATGAATATGACGGGGCCGAGTATATGTCTGTCCTTGTATAATGGAGTATCTGCCTGGATGTACAGTTGTGAACTCGTAATACCCGTTTTTGTCTGTGATGATGTATCCACGACAATCTTTACTGTGATATTTCCCGTTAACGTCAGCCTGCCAGATTTCTATCTTTGTATCCGGAATAATCTTACAATCCTCGCCGAGCACATGTCCATGAACTGTAAGCGTGCGGTTGTAGTAACTTCGTGGGTTTCCGGTGCAGTACTGAATTAATCTATTTGAATGTGTTATATAGTATGGACCATAAATATCGGCTGGTGTTGGTTTACAATACTCCTTCCGAGATGCCTGATAAGTAAATCAAAATAAAGTTATTAATATGATACAAATATTCCGTAGTCCAAGTCTCGGCATACCACAATCAAAAGATTTACCAAGTCAGACTTTACTTTCGGTATTTATTTTTTTTTTTTTTGAGAGCGAAACAAATCTATATCTGCAAACTCTTACAAGTTTAAATTGAAAAAAAGAAAATTTTATTTACATTCTAAGCACACTGTGGTGATGGATTTATGTAATGCTGCATGAATAATTGTTCAAGAGAGAAAATTTGTAAGGAGGAGGTCATAGAATTTATTGACATTTATGGTATATGTATATTTTAAAAAAAGAAATTTTGCACTCAATTGGAATTCTGAATATGTCTCATTTCACTGAAATTTTCTTATCTCTGAACAGCTGCAAATGAAAATTACAAAAAATGCATATTATCTGACAAGTATATAATTTCGTATGTGTCTTGCTGTTGTATTTAATGTGTCTTGAAGGTATGTATCTGTAATGACTTTGGGACCCTGTAATGCTAACCATGTCTTTAATAAAAAGATATCCTGATGTATACCAGAAACCTCTTACAAGACTGTCTTTGACTTATCCAGGTAAAACTGTTATATTATAAATCATATACGGTATCAATTTTGATGTACCAGATGTGCATTGCTACCCTAAATTTATTAGGTCTACCTAAGCACTTATTTTGCATTGAACATGTTTATAGATACATTCACGTCATAACAGCCTTCTTATTGCCTTTATTCTATTTCACTAATAAAAATGTTTTGTCAGAAAAATGAACTACTTCTATATCTACGTACTTTCATGAAAACAAGTAAATATACACTGCACGTGTATTGATAAAAGTATTAAAAAAGAAAGTGTATTGATCTGTATTGAAAGTTCAATGTATCACAGAAACAAGCGCGAATGAACCCTGAAATGACAACGTCTTAAGGGCTGACGTTCCTTTTCTCTTTGTAACATACCAAAAATATTTATAAATATCATTATCTAGTAATTACTTAATTGTTTAAAATGGCTTAAAAGATATAAACACCAAACATTGTGTTATCAGCAATTAAAATAATAGCCAATAGGATTATAAAGTAAATACCATCCTCTGGTATTTTGCACAAATGCCTGGTAATGTACCTCGATTTTAGGAAACTTATTAAATAAGCAAAACTCCAGGCACAAGTTCTTGGGAAAAAAATATTTTTGAGGAACCCTTAACCAAGTCCTATCGAAGTGTACAAGCCAACAATATTCCTAATATTTTGTTTTCATGAGCTTCCACTTTTGAAATAATTCCCGAATAAAAAAGAAAATATCTTTAATAATCGTGCTCGATATTTTATTCATGTGATATTTTTTAATTTTGTAAAAATTGGTACTTACATTTGAATTTTTTGACTGTTGTCTACTTTCCTTCTTGTCGACACTTTGTTGATTTTGTCCAACAACTTCATCTAGGAAAAGGTAAACTACAAAAATCCAAGTCCTAAGAATCATGTCTGTCATCTGAGTAAGAGAACAAATGAAGATAGCAGAACTGTCGGGATTTTCAAAAGATCCTGTCTTAAACAGAAATTTTCATGAATATAGATGAGTCTGTAATCACAGTGGATTTTTTCAGCTGGTTAACTCTCCGAGTAGAAAGGCAATCACCAGAAAATTCGGTCTACAAGTCAGTACAAAAGAATTCATCAACACCATAGAGACGGCACGTTGATTACCTCAGCTTGGTTTTTTTCGGTCATTTTTACAATAATGATTATGATTGATAATTCAGGCTCTTCTTTATTCCATCGAGTGCTTTGATCGAAAATGTGTTAAACAGTGTTAAAACAAACGTACAACAATGGCCAGTGTGAAATGCATTTAATAAAGATATTCATCGGTGACAAGAAGACAGTATATGACATTTCAGCAACATCGATATCATGATAAAAATAAGAGATGTCAAAAATATACAAAGGTTTTTATTTCATTGTGTGGTCTAGTTTTCTGCAGGTCAAAGGCCAAATTTAGGTTTTGAGCAGATTCATTTTTCTTTGACACATGTTTAACTAGTTGCATGTTTCTATATTATTCAAATACATGTACAAGCACATGATGAAAATTCTGTTTCAAAAGATAAATATATTTGCAATTTCGGCTTAAATCTGTTTAAAGTTTATGGTTTTGAGACCAAAGAGCTCATGCAATCGTCAAGTGTCCGTTGTTTAATTGTCTAGCTCTCTGTTTGAAGTTTTCACGTTTATATAATAAAAAATATCTCCTCCTCCTACAGTTTTGAACTGATTTCATTAGAACTAGACATCCCAATAGCCTACATTTAGATACAATATTCTGTGTGTCGTCTTTGACATTTTAACTGTGTTGCCATAGTTACTACACTTTTTGTGAAATTCTTTTAAAATGTCTACAGATTTTGTCCGATTTCAATTTAACTTAGTACACAAATCGACTACACCAATGTTCATGACTCTGGCTTTGCTCTGTTTGTTTTGAAGCTTGTAAATGGCTTCTATGGTTACTACACATAGAACATCCTGTAGAATCAGGCCCGTGGGAAGCAATTTCAGTTGGGGGGGGGGGGGGCACAACCATACATTTTCAGTTGAGGGGACCCTACCAAAAATTTCCCGACAAGCAAAAAAAAGGTCATCAACTACCAAAAATTCCTTGACGAGCAAAAAAAAAAAAGGTCATCAGACATTTTTATTGACGGGCACAAGCATATAGTATCTAAGTTTACTATAGTTGTCTATATATCGGCAAAACTATTGGGGGGGGGGGCACGCCCCCCCCCGTCCCCCGGTTCCTACGGCCATGGGAAATGGGAATTCTTTCCAAACGCTACGTGCTTTTCGGTTATGACAGGTGACAGAGAAAACAACAGCTGACCACATAGCCTCGATACAAGGGTTCTTTTGTACAGAATAGAAACTAATTTACGCAAGAGGTTCATTGCGAAAAAAAATCAACTTTATTTAACCCCTGGATCGTACGTATCAATCACAATTTCCCCTATATAGTCACGTTTAGTCAATCGTGCGCGGACACACTGTTTGTTTACCTTCGCTTAACAGTTTTAATGGTATGACGTCATCGGTTGAAATATTTAACTACTGTGACATATAAAAGTAATATATTAACATTATTTTGTGTTAACTTTTTAGCTCCCCTGAGCCAAAGATTTCTGATCGAAGGGTGCCCAGCGTCCGTCTGTCACGTGTCGTCTGTAACTTTTCACATTTTCAACATCTTCTCAAGAACCACTGGGAAAATTTCAAACCAACTTGCCAAAAAGCATCCTTGGGTGAAGGGGATTTAAGTTTGTTCACAGAAGTACCACGCCCTCTTTCAAGGGAAGATAATTAAGAATTCCTGAAAAATTAAGGGCATCTTTTAAAAATCTTAAGAACCACTGGGCCAGAAAAGATGAAACTTACGAGATAGCTTCATTACATACTGTATGTTCATATAATGACCTCAAGAAGGGGGGGGGGGTAGAGTGGGACCACAACAGGGTGTCAAAGTTTTACATAGAAATATATAGAAAATATCTTTAAAAATCTCTTCTAAAAGGGTTGTCCCAGAAAAACGCGAACCTTTTTTAATATTTTATAAACTACCTGACCAAAATTATTCATTTTTGGCATAATGTTGGGGAATGATATTTTTGTCATTTTGGCTAAATAATATAAGGTTCAAATGCCATATGCATTTATAAACAACATTTAAAGGGTGTTAAATATCGGTGGTCGGAGCACGGCAATTTCTTGACTTTCAAAAATAGCATTGTTTTCTTTATCACCAGGCTACACGGAAATATAATGTGTCTTGTAACAAACAAAACAAAACAATAGGACCTAAATGTCCTTACTCACAAGGGAGGCAGTCGACGCATTCTGGTTGAACAACATTTCCCCGTGTCCAGATTTATAATTAATAAATATTTTCCTAAAGATAGTCTTAATTATTTGCAATTTTCTAATTTTTACATTGAATTCTTCTTTGAAAACTCTTTATTCAAAAAAGTAATAGAGAAAAGTACATTGTTAAAAACAGAATTGTGAATTGTTGGCACTAAAGAGGAACCTAACCAGAAGTCTCTGATGAGACTGTAGCTCTACTGGTTGTATTTATAAAGGAAGATAAAAGTAGCACTTGGACTTGAAACTTTGCAACAGCAATAAATAGAATAATGATCCTTGGTTTAGTCTCTTTTTGGCAAGATTTATTATTATATCAGACTAAATCTGTAGGAGGAGTAGCCTTTTAAAACAATTTTACTGAAATTTTGATTTAAGTAACCATGGCAAAATCATTCAACAAAATCAAAAAACAATAACACCAATTATGTATCTCTGTAGTCTACTTGTATGCCACATTATTCTGAAATCAGACAAAAAGTGTAGCAGGAGTAGTGTTTTGAAAGTATTTTAAGAAAATTTCTATTTTTAGTAACCATGGCAACACCATTCATCAAAATCCGAAACTGGTACAGAAAATTATGTATCTTAGTGTAGTTTACTTGTATGCTAAGTAATACTAAAATCAGACCAAAACTGTAGGGGAAGCATTTTGAAGGTATTTCAAGGAAATTTCTATTTTTAGTAACCATGGCAACAATGTTCATCGAAATCAAAAACCGATACACAGAATTATGTATCTTAGTGTTGTCTGCTTGTTTGACAAGTTATATTGAAATCAGATCAAAACTGTAAGAGGAGTAGCATTTTGAAAGTATTTCACAGAAATTTCTATTTTTAGTTACCATGGCAACATCGTTCATTGAAATCAAAAACCGATAAACAGAATTATGTATCTTATTATAGTCTACTTGTGTGCCAAGTTATATTGAAATCAGATCAAAACTGTAGGAGGAGTAGCATTTTGAAAGTATTTCAAGGAAATTTCTATTTTTAGTAACCATGGCAACACCGTTCATCGAACTCAAAAACCGATACACAGAATTATATGCATCTTAGTATAGTCTACTTGTGTGCCAACTTATACTGAAATCAGATCAAAACTGTAGGAGGAGTAGCATTTTGAATGTTTTTCACAGAAATTTCTATTTTTAGTAACCATGGCAACACCATTCATCGAAATCAAAAACCGATACACAGAATTATGCATCTTAGTATAGTCTACTTTTGTGCCAACTTATACTGAAATCAGATCAAAACTGTAGGAGGAGTAGCATTTTGAATGTTTTTCACAGAAATTTCTATTTTTAGTAACCATGGCAACACCGTTCATCGAAATCAAAAACCGATACACAGAATTATGTATCTTAGTGTAGTCTACTTGTGTGCCAAGTTATATTGAAATCAGACCAAAACTGTAGGAGGAGTAGCATTTTGAAAAATTGTTTACAGACGGACGGACAGACAGACAGACAGACAGACAGACGGACGGACGACGGACACATTACTATCGCATAAGCTCTTCTGGTCTCTGACCAGTAGAGCTAATAAAAACATGCACTGTTCTCTTATATTCAGTTCCATAAAATGCGTCTTTCACCGACTGCTCTTTAATCAGGAACGTATTGAGCTGAAAAGAGTTTTGCAAGTAGAGGATTCATCTACATTCATCAAATCTTACAATGTGCGCACTTTCAAATTAATTTCCTTATTGTTTTCGTCTTTCAATCATACAATGTATATATTACAGAACACGTTTTCGGCTTTGTCTTTTTAAAAAAAAGGGGGGGGGGGAGAGAAAAAGAAAATTAAGATTTTATTTAAATACGAAAATATCTTAAATAATAAAGTATAAGGTTCATTAATCGAATACCGAGATTTCCCTCAGTTGATTTTTAAGGAGAGCGACATTAAAGAATCATCGCTCCTTTGTCTGGTGGTTTTCTGTTACTTTTTATATCTGTTTGTCACTGTCTTTATTTTTGTACCTTGAAAGTCAGGAAATCCGATAATAAGCAGGTGTGTTGTCTATTAAAAGATGACTTGAAACAAGAGTTTTTATTCTTGTGAGTTGAAACTTGGGTCTTTGACCTATGATTTAAAATGAGCCACACAACATTCAAATACTGGATATACAGACTAAAATTAAGTAGTGCTTGCGCACTAGTACTTCCAGTGAGTACAAATAAGGTCATCATCAATTTTTGGAATGAACATCTAAAAGTACTGACCACCCTTTTTAATGCTCAGGCCCTTTTTTATTTAAAAAACAAAAAACCCAAAACAAAACAAAAAAACAAACAAACAAACAAACAAACGAACAAAAAAAAAAATAAAGTGAAATGTTTAAAAATTATTAAAATGTGTAAAATTACAACTTTTATATTAATAATTAGCTCAGTCTTAGAAAGCTTGAAAAGAAGAATTCTATTTTATTAACCCCAAATTAATAAATATCTTCAGTTGTAAAAAATACATAGCAGCAGTCAGGTACAATAAAACTTTGAGAATATGCCCAACAATAGCACTTCTTGCATTGTAATGGTATATAAATGAAATTCAAAACATAAATATATCATGTATTGTACAGTGTTGTACGCAAAATGTAATTAATGTACAGAAGAGAAAATTCATGAGTGCAAGAATCAACTTAAGAACAACACATTGTTACCTAATCAGTAGTCAGCTGCCGGTCTCTGTGAAATGTATATCTAGAAGTAATACGAATTTACTGCTGCAGCAAGCAAAGCAGTTTATCATGAAATAAAACAAATTAAAA